AATTTTTTTCTTGGATTATTAAGATACAATTTACGCATAATATGTAGGCAAATTTTGCCATTTTGGTTGAAAATACAAACGGATCGAATTCCGTTAATTGTTAAAAACCTACATAAATATAATATAGCACACACTTATTAATTGTTTTCTTGTTAATAAGTAGTAGGCTACTTAGTAGTATAACTATAGCGTATAGCCGTATAAGTAATTAAAATGTTTGGTTAAGAGAAGGGTAAAGATGTTTAATAAGTTGAGAGGGAGCAATTGGATCCGATTAATTTAATCCAAGCCTAATTATAATAACTATATACTATTATTATATTATAATCAGTGTTTGAAAAAGAACGTTGATCTTGAACGAGTCTTATTCGAGGTATCAGAAAAGTTTAAAGAGTAGGTAGTTAATAGTAGTTTAAACTATGTAAAAAAATACCAAGTGCTAAATCCAATCCTTGCAACTTGCGATTACTYTTCTAAGTCAAATTAATTCACAAAGCTAGGTACTAGGTAGGAACACAGTGTTCTTCTTAATTTRAGGTATACATAAAAAATGAGATACATCCAAACCGTGGTACATCTACTATATAGCATGATATTCCGCAAAATATAACTACACTATACAAGAGCGAAGCCGAGTAATATCTACCTATAGGTAGTTCATTATGAAAGGAAAAAATTTGAGTTGAGCATGCTTGGTGAATTACCTTTATACAGTTTGTAATATAAAGATATGATAGAATGTCATACCTTTTATTTGTTTTTATACGAATTATTTGTCATTTATTTCTGTTATGTTATACACATACGTACAGCGATTATAAAAATCAGGCACGCTAGAGAAAAAACCGGTTGTCCCTCGATAAAAAAGGGTAAGAGTTAGAAGTTACCATTTACGAAATTTAATTAACCCAATATACTTATAGAAACGATATGCCTCATGCAATTGATTTTCTTGATTTCGTCTCAACTCTCTTGTGGGCCAGAGTAATGAGTATCAATCATAAATGTATAATATTATTATTAATTAATTAATATTATTTTATTATTGTATTATTATTTACCTAAAATTCCAAAATTCTTCACTATCTGGACTGATGCTCTTGTGAGCACGAGAATACGTGTTGCCTCTTGAATTTCCTAACCATACGTCGAAACCATTATCCGCTAATTGGTAAGCTAAAAAATAAATAACATATTATTATTATATAATATATAGTATACAATATAAATAGAGGTACCTATAAATTACTATAAAACCATTAAGACCATTATTTTATCACTTCATTCATTTTCACGGTTAATCGATAAAATACATTTTTAATTTCATATTCCAATAACATATAAGTAGAATATTTTTTTAGTAGATATTCATAAAATACAATATTATAACATATAAAAATCAATTTTCTAACCTATATAGTCAATGACAAATTTTAATTGAAAACGCTTAAATTTCATAACAAACTATACCTACGTTTATGTCACATAGTTAAAAATTTAATTTTATATACCMGAGTTCACTGAAAAATATTCTGCTTTTTTGGAAGATGAAATAAAAATAAAGTTGGTACATCTCTGTCATATATAAGTTGTAATTTAGATTACTGTAATGGATGTGTTAAATAAATTTGAATTCAATGGTATTAAATCATTGTACTACCTATACGAAAAACGATTCTGAGCAAAGTCGGTATTTCGCACCTATTTCAGCCTATATTAAGTATTATAAGCATATTTTATTAAGTATACGCATGTATAAGACTATGAAATTATGAAAAACTTCGTTTTAAATTTTCTATCCTTATGGCTAAAACAAATTTAACATTTTATACATTTGAAACTACAAAATAATTTGCAAATGTTCAATTTTATAAATGTCGACAAAATTTAAATGCTTATAAAAAAAACAACATGTAGGTCTCGAAGACGTTCAACGAAAGCAAAGTGTTTTCACTTCGATTAGATAGTCGATCAAACCAATAATAATAATTATTAGGGTTAGGATGTTTATGGCTTTTGCATATTTTTTTTTTTTAGTCGTGCGCATTGCAGACCAAGTTATAAATACGTTTTGTGCGACATAGAATCAGATACATTCAATTTTATTTTGCATATTTTTGCATATTTAGGGATTTTTATGAAAAAATGCATATTTTGCCAAAATAAAACTTAAATACAATATAAACCTCAATAAAAACCCATAGATAGGCATCACAGTCGGTTTCAGATTTAACGAAAATGAGAAATATGAAACCCGTTGTTTATAATTAACTTATCTATATTACTTACTTATCTTAACTTTAACTCTACGTTTATTAATCATGTTTACGACCGATGATTGYGATAGTGTGTCGATAGGACAAAAATACAAAATAACTTATATTATAAAATCATTATAGAATTGCATCAAAAGAAAGCAGTGACAATAAATCTACGCATTTGTATGTATTGAGTAAAAACAAAATTAAATATTAATTTACTGTAAGTACCTAATTTCAAAATATCATATTTTTATATAATTTGTATTTAATTTTAAAGTTGTAAATTAATTTAAAATACATTTTGGGTTAGAAATAAAATTTTATAATGGCATGTTTAATTTTTTTAAGGGCATATTTTGATATTTTTTGTGCATTTTTTAGTGTTTTTAAGGTCATAAACATCCTAACCCTAATAATAATTGTCATGCAACGGAATACTCTTATTTACATCTAATATCTTGATTACTAGATCCACTTCTATTTGTACATTTTCAATATATCATTAATTACAGTCCCCAGGCATATGACCGATGYTTTTTTGTAGGTAAAAAAGTGTAAATGCGAAAACCATATTTGAGTGACTAGTCAGTTATAGTCATTTCAAGTGAGAATCGATTTAACTTTCAAGTTATTCACCTAGGTAGGCAATCCTTTAAAAATGTGTTATGATTTTAAATAACGTAAAAAAATTTAAATCTATTTTTAAAAACAAGAAGTGGGTAGGTAACGGTCTACTGTGCGGTATTATATCTATAAAGGCTTAGAGTCTAGAGAGTCATCACTGCAATGACTATTTAATTTGAATTCAGTGATATATATAATCATTGTAGGTATGAAAAAAAAACAATTCTGAGCAAAGATGGTTTGTCRGCGTATAATATTATTATTTATAACTAAGTATATTTTATAATATTATTAATTATAATTAAAGTAATTTATTATACTATTAGGCATTGTAGTACTACAGTAGGTTAAATTCATTTTTTTTTTCAAAGTCATTGTTTGTATAAAATATAATTGTGTACTATTTAAATGCTAAGCTTAAAAAAAGAATAGTATTTTTAAATTACAAAAAAATAAATTAAACCGTTATTTTTGGTCTTATGTAAGACCAAAAATATGTAATTTCATGAAAATCTAACTCGAAATAATCTTTCAATTTTCGTGATTTTGACGAATTTGTTAAAATTCTTACTTCAGATGCTCATAACAAAATTTTGTGGATTTACGCTCAACTTTCTTTTTTTTTTTTATTAGCTTTTAGTTTTACTATTATAGCTCAACAATTATATAAAATAACATAACTAGATAATAATAAAATATAACAAAACATGCAAAGAGTTAAATAATTTTCTTTTTTTTTATGTCAATTAACAATGAGACAATAAGTTTTAAGGAACCCCGTACTACACTTTCAAGTTTATTGACCAAGTTTATCATTTTATGTCGACAGTAAAAAAACTGATAAAATTCAAAATTTTCTTATGCCTATAAATAGCTCAAAAAGATTAGAAATACTTCAATATTTCATTCTATGAAAATGTCTTGTATAAACCGTTATTTTTCTTTAGGGTTATGATGAAAAATAAAATTGAATTTTCGAAGATTGTGCGTAAAAATCTGTTTTTCTTAGTTTTTTATTCGTTTTTTTGGCGCTTTTGTAAAACATTAGGAATTCTTATCATTTTTTAGTAGTTTTAAACCTCCCAATAAGTATCAACRCGATTAAGATTCCTACCACATAAAATTCTGTCGAAGACAATCAAACTTTAACTGTCCTAAAAAGTGATAACAACAGACACAAAAAAAAACACATCATTATAAATTTATAAAATCCTTACACACATTTGTCATTTGCTCCGCTCGGCGCTCAGAATCTATAACATACCTATATACATTAATTACGCATTACTATATACTTAAAATGATGATAAAATAATTACCTTTAACCTAGCATATTATTATGTAAATTAAAATAAAAAGACGGAATTTTAAAACTGTTKATACATAATCAACCAAATTTTATTTAATAATAAATCAATATATAATAATTAAATAATATAATATAATTTATAGACCCGGATCACGGCATGTTTCATAAGCAGTGTACAGAATCGTAATTAACCATGGATTTATGGTCACCGCAAGACCATGCACGATCGGTATAGGTACCTATTTTTTTTTTTTATTGTATAATATATTTTTCATTAACAATGTTAAAAATATTTGTTTTGATTAAGTACCTACGGAATTTTACGATTACGATACAATCTAATCTACAAGTAAAGTACCTATGTGGCTATATGTCCTATGTAGGTATTAACCTATCATCAACTACTCTGTACCTACCTACCAACCTACCTATGTTTAATTATTAACTTCAGTCGGRCCACACAGACAATATAGTTAGAATAAAATAAATCCCATATAGAAATTTACGTTTTATTGTTTTAGGGTTTGTTCATAGCTCATAGGGAAGGTGGTTCAATAATTTTAAAATATTTATGTGCTCTATATTTGCGTAATATAATATAATAAATAATGTTAATATTTTGTTTCATTGGGTAGTTGATAATCGTGATTTTGAACTATGAGTTACTTTTGACTCGACTCAATTTTTCGATTTCAAAAGACATTATTTGTTTATTAAAAAAAAATGTCATAAATTCTTGGATTGATTAGTAGAAACAGTAAATATTTTACTAATCACATTACCTTAAAAAAATGAAAATAATGAACTTTTCGCTGGTACAGATGTACGGTCAGTCAATAATCATATATTCATATACCTATACAAATATAATGCCATATTGCTATGAACAGTTATCMAAAATCAATTCCTTCGCTTTATAGTTTATATTTTACAAATTTGGTACCAATTAATCGTAAACCTCATTAACTAGATATGTATACTCCGTTGTTATACACACTAAATATAAGAAGTATTGTTGTCAGGAGAAAAAAAAGCTGATTTATAATTTTCGTATACCTAGGTATATTGGTCACTTGGTCACTATAGAGTATAGATACAATATAATATACTCGCAAAAATTACTAAATTGCTAAATATTTTCATTCTCTCAGTGCCAACTTATTTGGTGTACTAATGTTTTTTAAACACAAATACTTAAAAATAACTATGCTCTGAATGCCCTGTAAACAAAACTATGCAATTAGCTAATGATACCTACTCTCATATTGATTTATTTTATTCTAACACTAAATTGATTCTTTTTGTAATTACTAATTATAAATGTATTATTCGATTTTATGCGTGAATTATTTTATCACTAATCTTTATCCTGTAATTATTATTGTTGTATTATTTTTTATCTTTTTTTTCTGCGTAAATGCATCATCTTGTTACTATTAACTTGTACTTAATACTTAAAACTGATATTGTGCTCTATCCGATTATAATAAGTAAATAAATAAACCCACTTAACACGTTTAAAATATATTTTTACCAAGTACTAGCAAAATATGGTAACCACATTTGCACAACCTACCAGCACCATATAGGTCTTGATCCGGGCCTGATAATATATTGCACTATATAGGTAGGTATAATCTGAATCGAAACTCACCCAGCGCTTTCGAAGGCCCGTTGATTATCCAGTCAGCAGAACTAGCTACGACTCCGTGTTGTAGGAACACTGGGAATTTTCTGTACTGTTTAATGGTTTTTCCGTGTGGTATCCTATGGACTTCCAATAGATATCCATCTTTCGTATCCACTATATGAGTTTCGGATGGATAGCCATGGCGTTTAATTATTTTCGGCTATAAATGTAGGTAAAAGTAATCAATATCATGGCGTTTATTAAACACATCACAAGTACGTGCAGTAACAAAAAGTCTTAKAAATTTTTCTCCAATTACAAATTAAATTGAATTTTCTTCAAAGTACCGTTCTTTGGTACAAACAGCACATTATTACTCGTTATTATTCTGATCAATTCGTAACCACAGCTAGAAACATTTTTAATAACCCTGTCTCGTGGAAAGGCATGGGACAGGATAGTTATAAGGGGGTGGGGCTAGGTAAATTGAGTCCGAGATAAGTTTGGTACATTTTGAAAGCGGTAAATTGAGTCCCGGGGAAAAATAGGTAGTAGGTAAGTTGAGTCCCAGAAAAAATAAGGCAGTAGGTAATTTGAGTCCCAAGGAAAAACGATTTATATGCATTTAAAATTTAAAAATGTGCACTATAAAATTTGTATTTATGATTTGTGAACAATTCATATACATGCAGTCAATGAATGTCCTCAAATAACAATTTTATAGTGCATATTTTTAAATTTTAAATGCATATAAATCGTTTTTCCCTGGGACTCAAATTATCTACTGCCTTATTTTTTCTGGGACTCAACTTACCTACCACCTATTTTTCCCCAGGACTCAATTTACCGCTTTCAAAATGTA